AAATAAAATAAAATAAAATAAAATAAAATAAAATAAAATAAAATAAAATAAAATAAAATAAAATAAAATAAAATAAAATAAAATAAAATAAAATAGAATAAAATAGTAAAATAATAAATAATATAATATAATTATAGTTTCTTGCTAACCTTATAAGCAAGTTAATAAAATAATAAAATTACTACCAGTAAATCTAATAAAATAAATATAAATAATTTATTTAATATATTAAGAAGTTACAGAGTATTATTGATATATAAAATATAAATAATATATTTTATAATACTATTGTTATTTTTATACATAATTTTTTACTGAGATCTCTATACCTTAAAATTAAATTATTTAATGAACAAAATAAATAAAATTATTTAAAATTTAAAATATATCTGCAGTCCAAGTTCTTTATAAATATAATCATATATTTTGATGATACATTCTGAGTAATTTATATATTTGAATAACTAGAAAGTAGTATAGAAAAAATTTTTTATTATACTACTAGAATATAAATAATATAATTATTTATAAAAAAATAAATAAAGAAATTTAATAAGATCTATAAAAAGATTAAGAAATAAAAATTTAAAAAAAAAATTATACTTCCTCCAGCAAGGCAGCAGGAATTTTAAGAATTTTTTAAAAGATTTTAATATTATCTTAATCCAGGCTGGCAGTACTGTATAAGAAATATTTTTAAAATTATAATATGAAAAAGTTTATTTTAAATAAAATTTTTTTTAGGAAAATATATAAATTTTAAAGATTATTATTAATCAGATAACTGATATCTATATTATAATTAATATAGAATATTTTGTTTATAATATCATTAATCTGAAATATATAAAAAAAAGATATATATTAAATGTAATTTTTATTATTTTTATTCTAGTAACTGAGATCAGGGGAAAAAATTACTAATTATATTATTTAAATATATTTAGATATCAGTACTTATATTAAGACTGGGTTTTACATATATATATCTAATTATAATTTAGAATATAATATTATTCTAGATTTATTTTAGCTGGAATATTATAATAAAAAAATTAAATTATTCTAAAATAAAACTTATTTATAAAATATTTAAATCCAGATTAAAACAGTCTAAGTATTATATTTTAAATATATTTTAATTAAAATATTAGCCGCCACCTTCTAGACATAAATTAAAAGAAAGAAAAGAATTTTATAATTAAAAATAAAAATCTTTATTATATTCTTAAAGAATATAAAGAAAACTCTATATTTTAAATTTAAATTAAGTCTAAAAAATAAATTACTAGAATAGTATTAGTAAATTTTAAAAATTATTTAAATTAAAAAATATAGAAATTCTGTCTCTGTATTATATATTAAATATTAATTATTCAATTAAATTAAGAAAATAAGAAGATTTTCTATTTTTTATAAAAATTTTCATATAATATATCCAGGAAAGAACTTATAATATTATAAAAATTTTTTATTAAATTATTAAATAAGAGATTTATTTGAATAAATAATTTATTAATTGAAAGGTTTTCTTTATCTAGAAAATTAAAAAAATCTCTATTTCTATACTAATGATTATAAATTAAATACTATTATTAAAAATAACTAATATCTACTATTTCTAATTTATAAAATAGTAAATTAAATTAAAAAAATTAAATAATTTATTAAGTTTAATATATCTGCAGCCTTTTATAAGATATATATTATTAAAAAAAATAAAAATAAATAATTATCTTTTATATTTAATATAGATCTTATAAATAATTAACTATATTATTCAGACTTAAAAATATTTCTAGTATTTTTAAAAAATATATTAACTAGATTCTAAGAGAGTACCTGAATAAATTTTATTTTATTTATTTAAATAATATACTATACTTATCTTCTTAACTAGAATCTTTTAATAATATTAAAAATATATTTGAAGGATCCTGACTAAGTTATAAAAAATAAAATTATAATTTAATAATAATAAATTTAAATTTAAATAAAAGAAGATTAAATATCTTAGATTTATTATTAAAATAAAATAAAAAATAAATATAAATCCTGAAAAAATCCGCATATTTTGAAAATAAGATTTTTTATAATAATTAAGAAAATATATAGATTTATTAGATTTACTAACTTCTACTATCAATTTATACTGAATTTTTTTGGAATTACTTAATTTTTTTATAATTTTATCTAAGAAAGATATCTGGTTTTAATAAATTTTAGAATACTGGAAAAATTTTTTATTTTTA